AAAAAAAAAAAAAAAAAAAAAACCTTTTTCAATACAAAAACAAAACAAATATGATTCTGCCAAACAGGTCATATTCCACTGCAATTACTGCAAAATTGTTCAAACACCTTTCAAATTCAGTAATTTAAAAATATTCTTCAAATATAAATTACACTACCAACAAAACCACTGGGGCAAAGAATATGAGCTAGTAAAAAAAAAAAAAAAAAGACACAAAACTAGTATTACAGTTAGCTGTCGGTATTGCTCACATTATGTTCCACAAAAACTCATTAACATAAATTGAAAGCTGTATATACTACATTATTATTTTAAATATGACAATAAAATTCATAATAATAAAGCAATGTTGACAAGTTTTTTCAGACAAATAATTATCATTTAAAAAATAACAACACATTTAGACTTGGAAGAGCTTATCAAAATGTTATATCTACCAGCATACTTTTCTCTCTCAGCCGATCATGGAAGGAGAGGATAGATGGAAAGGACTTAGAAAACCCAGCATTGTGGACACACGCATTACACACTCTCTCCCCAGTTTTATAAGATGCAGATTTAAGTACACTACCAGCAAAGACTTTGTTGCTTTAATCTTTCATGCATAAACTGCATTCGCTGGAAAGAGGTTACTGTTAGGTTTATGATTTTAAACACCCCAGAGTTAGGAATCAGAGAAGTTAAATGTTCACAGAATAATCTGGGTTGGTTGGTCATCTAACAGGGGTGGGCAAAATATGGCCCGCGGGCCACATCCGACCCGCCAGGCCGTTCTATCCGGCCCATGGGGCCCCTAAAAATTTAAAGAAAATTATTATGGCTGCCTGTCAAAGACGACAAGGTGGCAGCAGCAGCAGGACCCAAGAGGAGCCAGCAGTAGGACTGAGCAGTGGTAGGACCTGCCTGGCCCCACCACCCCCAGCCCCCAACCAGAAGGTTCTGTGGCTTCTGGCCTGGTGACCCTTTGGCTGTTCCCCACCCCTCCTCTGTCTGAGTGGAATCTCAGATAAGATCAGATGGAGGGAGGAGGGGAAACCACCGGAATCAGCCCATGTCGCAGGGCTTACGCCAGGCCAGGTTGGTCTCATGCCTTGTTATGCAGTCCCGGCCATGCAGATAGGAGCCGCATAGTGCTGGCTGGGATGGGCTGGAGCCGGAGCAGCAGGTGGGTAGGCAGAGAGGAATGGCAGTGGCAGCACGTGGGAAATAGCAACAGCAATGGTGGGCAGGCAGGCATGTGGGAGAGAAAGTAGGGAAGCAGCAGGAGACAGGCAGCAGTGACGGTTGGCGGTGTCAGTGGGCAGGAGCATGAGGCCTGTGCCGTTGCCCTGAGAACAGTGGGGGCCCAGGGTGGGATGGCAGGAGGGCGGAGCCTGAGCACAGGGTCCACCTGGCTCCATCGCATGAAGCTTACATGCAGTCTGTCCAAGTGGCTTGCCTCTGGGGGGAGTTGCACACAGAAGTCGGCAGCTCAGCCCCACTCACTACTATGCACAGGTTTTGGGGAACAGCAAGGATCTCTGTGCTATGGAGCTGGGCTGCCTCCACCCTTCTCCCTGCCACACTTGCCAAGCCCCATTAGCTGAACCAATGGCTTCATTGTGGAAGGCTTGGTGGGGCTGGCCCTGCGCACTGCCACCACCTGCGGCTGGGGACTAGGTTGGGAGCATGGAGAGTTGCATGCTGTGGGGCCAGGTGGGACTGGCCCCACTCACCGCCATCACATGCAGCTCCAGGGACTGGCATACTCCAGCAACTCAAAGGATGTCTCCCTCCAACCGCACCCACACATACACCCGCACCCTTCCACACATTGCACCCCCACCATTCCCCCAGACACATTTAACACCCTCCCACACGTGCTCCCACCCCACCCACCATAACCCCACACCCTCCCACAGCCTCACCCCAACCAACCACATACTCCACACCCATTCCCCATACCCCACCACACACACTCACCCACTCCCTCCCACATATACTCCCTTACCCCCACCCACAATATATAAGAGTAGGACTGTATTTTGAGCTATTATGCAATTGCCTTTGGATACAATATGCAAACACATAAATCAAGACAACAATATTTTTAAATAAAATTACAATAAGTTACAGTAGATGTATTTTTTAGTATATGGTTTGGTTTTTTCCCTGGTTTCAAGATGGCAACACTTTCCCCACCAAAAGGAGTACTTCCAGGGCAAAGGGAGGGACTTCCAGGGGCAAAGGTCAGGGGTTAGAAGTGGGAGTTCTGGTCCCAAGATGGTGACCAAGAGGTGGGGCACCTGTAAAGGGGCAGGGCTACCCTTGTGGCCCTCGACAGCTCACCAAAACTGATTAAGTGGCCCTCCAGCCGAAATAATTTTCCGCCCCGTCATATAACAAAGTAATCAGATTAATTTTTATTCCATTAAATATAAAAGCAACCACAACAGCACGGCTTAGTAATGCTTTAAAAGCATTTACAAGAAACCCTTGCCATTTGCAGGTTCCAGGGATCCCCGCAAATGGGGAGATCCACGAATACATTAATGAACAGTGGCGGGAGCATGGTGCACCAAGTGTGCAGCTCCCGCAGACGCTGCCGAAGCTGTTAGCGATGGCAGGGGAGCATGCACGGAGAGAGCGTGCGCAGGGAGAAAGCATGGGTTCAAATATTTACACAGCAAATATTCGAAACCGTGAATCACGAATCTGTGAATGGCGAGGGTTTTCTGTATTTCTTTATTTAATTTCTCAAATTTAGTGCTGTGTCAATAAAAATTGTGTTCGTTTCTCTCTCATGTAACATACTTACATTTTTAAGAACAGTTGTGCCAATTAATCTTGGTTTAAGTTTCTGTCTGTGATATTTTACTGAAAAGTACAATAAGTACATATACAGTGATTAAGAGTTCAAAAAAATGGCTGTCTAAAACCAAACTCTGAAATTTCATATTTAGGCACTTAAAGAGGCCCAATTTATAAGTCCTTGTACTTAAGGGCACAGGGTTAGAAATTTTTATGGTTGAGCTATTACTAGGAACTACTCAAATTGCAATTTTACAGAAATCACAAAATCCAGCACTGCCAGTGAAATTGGGCAATGCCTGTGAAATCTGCAGGGGGAAGAAAACAATTTACTGAAAATAAAATGCTGCCTCCCCAGAGGGAGCCAGCAGTCCTCATGGTGCTACAGTGAGGCTATGCAGCAAAGCCACCCGTCTCACTGTGCCAGGCCTAAAATCTTAATTCAGGAGTCTCCCTCAGGAAGCCTACAGCCAGCTGTCCCACTTCCTGAAGAACACCCGCAAGCCTGGGGTAACACTGCCACCACCTGAGCACTGGTCTCTGGTAGGGCTCTGTGCAGCCCAAGGCACACAGACCCTGCAAACCTTGGGAGTGCTTTGCCCACACTAATATTACTGGGTGCTTCTTTCAGCCCAAAGCATCCCAAGACAGCATCAGATAGAACTGAGAGAAAATAAGAAGACAAAGTCCACTGGCCAAGCTGGGAGTGGAAGGCCTCCTCCCTCTCTCAACAGTCGTATAGCAAGGCAAGCTGTAACCCAACACCTTTATTGATGCAGGGGTTGGGGGTGGGTAGAATGAGGAAGTCAGAACACATTTGAGCAAACAAAAGCAACCTGAGTCTTACAAAGTCTGGTATAGTTACCCTTTTAAGATGTGACTGGCCTAGACCTAATTCCTAACTCCTGGCTAGTTTCCAGGTTTTTACTTACAGAAAATCACCAGACAGAAGCTTGGAGCACTTGCTTGAGGTTTTCCCACCAGAAGGAAAAGAGAGATCCCATCCTCCCCCTAGGAATTTTATCTGGCCAGGTCCCCTGATGGACCAGCCTGATCCAAGAAGAAAGCCAGGGGAGAGAGGATCACCTGGGCTGACCCACGTGAGGGGCAGAAAATGGGGGAGGGAATTTCTTCACAATGTTAACCACCACCTACAATTGATATCATAGTTACCCCAGTAAAGTGATCTTGCTTCTTCATTTTCCATTAACATTCCCTTAATGAAAAGCTAAAGTATCACACTGAAGAGAGTTCATAATAGAGCACAGGTTTTTAAAAGATCAGAATGACTCTTGGTCTCAAGTAGTAATAAGCAGGAGGTTGCAAGCATCCTAAAAATTAATTAGTGCTCCACTATTCATTGGACAAACTGGATCAAAATTCATGTCAGAGTGGACTAACTTGCAATCATCCAAACAGTCAAATATTCAATATATTAAACATTGCCAAAATATTAAAATGCTTTTGAGAAATAATGAGTCTTTCCACTACCCACAGTGAGACACAGAAAGAAAGAGATATCTCTAAGGAGTACTAGTCATTCTATATAGTAGTTATGCATGAACACACTTTGTTGCAGAGAACCCATAATCAATTAAAAACATAAAACAGAGTTCAAGTCAGAGGTGCTCAAACAGTGGAAGTTCAGATCACAACACCAAACTGTTCTGACTGGAAAAGCTGTTCATAAGGAACAAACTTATCCAAAAATCTCCTGAAACAAAACAAATCAAAGCAAAATCTCTCTCTCAAATGCATACCGTATTTCCCATCTTCATAAAATCCAACCTTGCACTAGCACCAAAAACAATTCTTAGCAGGTGACTTGATGCCTAAATTTTGTTTCCATATAAAGGAAACAACAGAAATGTGAGGAAGGAAAAACACTGGCAAAGAGTGGCCAACCTGTGGCATGTGCACAACACACAGGCAGCCTGTGTGTGGCACCTGGCAAATCAGGACAAGCAGTACAGTGGCAGAGGGCAGGAAGCAGAAAGCAGAGTAGTATTAGTAAGTTTTGGATGTAATGCTATTCTACAGAAGCAACAAAGAAAACTAAAGAAATCCTACACTAAT